TGTATTTCGAGTGCTGGGACCACAGAATCGTAGAGGAATTGTAATTTTACGTCAATAATATAGCTTAGGAGTCACGTAAAGAGTAAGAATTATTAATTAGTAATTATAATTAATGTAATTAAATAAGTAAATATTTATAAAAATAATATTTAAGTAAATTTCATCATTTCATACTCGAAGTGAGAAAAAAAAGTCCTAATGATAACATAAAATTTATTTTACAATCTGTTTATAGTTATAATACATTACTATACAATACAGAAATTTAATCATATTACTTTACAACTCGTCCTTGCAAAACTATATTTAGTGAGAAATTCCTTCAATAGAGACTTTGAAATTGCTATAGTTTACTAAAGGAACAAGTTTGTTATCCAATTTTTTATCATATCAAGTACTGTATTGACATAATCAATAACAGCACTAATGGAATTGCATGTTGTGTTGATGCTAATAGGTAATATGGATTGAGTTAAATCCTTATATATTGCGCTAAATCTTTAAACTTAATAGTTTGTTCTCAAACTTTAATATTTGAATTTAATTAATTAAAAATTCTATTTCTACTAACAACCTTAAAAAAAATTCTCCATTTTTCAAAATTCTACGTATTCAAAAAAAACAGAAGGTCCCTGTATATAGACTGACAATAAGGTGTATGGCAAGGAGGAGCCATGCAAGCAAGGAAACCGAGGCAATATATGGTTTATTAATGGTAAGGAATGAAATGATTGCCGTCGAACCCGTTAGGATGATAAAATTCTTTAGAATTTCACTCCAATGGCGTGCGCGAGGGTTGAGACTAGTGTTGCAAAGGCTAACACTGGCACATAGTGCTATAACGCGTAGCATCGTTATTGCACAATAAGTGGACAACGTGAAAGAATGTAAGTGCTAGGGGTGGTATTCGGGTGAATAACGGAAGGGTTATTCGAAAGTTGAACTGAAAAAATGAATTTGATTTAATTTTAATGGTTTTTTATTTTTATTGTTTTGGTTTTAAGATTAATTAAATAAATTTGGGTTTGATTTTAATTGAATCTTTCAAAAATAAAAAATAAAAAATAAACCTCTTAAAAATTGAAATAGAAATAAATATGACAAAATATGATAAAATATAATATAAAATATAATTTATTATTAGAAAAATAATTGATTAATATTTATTTAGTGAAAACTAAAATCAAACTGATTTTTTGGTAACCAAACTAATTGATTTGTAAAAACTTCAATTCAGTTTCGGTTCTCAAAATTAAAGAAAAGTTTTTTCGATTATTTAAAAACCGGTTTCGGTTAAGGGCGGAGAGAGGGCCGAGTGTGGCGGTAAAGGAGTGAATGCCGCTGTTAGCAGGCCCAATATGGCTATTGTTCCAGTGAAAAAGGAATTGCGCGGGCTGCAACTGCAAAGCAAACCATAAGAGAAATTAGGAGAGTTAATTCATATGGCGCCTGGCCCAGTGTCATTTGAAAGTAAACTTTAAGCCAATCTCTATTGTAGTGGGGCTTGATTAATTGCTGCGATCAACTAAATAGTAAAATTTATTTCATTTTAAATGCTTTTATTTACAGTCATTTTTAAATGATTTTTAATACTAGAAAAAGGAAAATAGGTAGTATAAGTTGAAAACACAATTTTAATGTTTTATTAAGATCCTCGCTATCCAACAAAATGACTGGTGATAATCTCTTTTTCAAATAAAGTAATAGGTGCCAAATTTAAATTATGAACATAAAGGTGAGAAAATTAAGGATGGAGAAGAGTCATTTTTTATTCTACAATTCTAAAATCAAAAAAATAAAAAAAATTGTCTGAAAATTTATTAGGATCAAATTATCTCAATCTGAACCAATAACATTTCGAACAAGCAAATAAAATACAAAAGCATTTTCTTGCAAACAACATTTAGAAAAATATCAACTTTGATTTTTTCATTTTTGATAATCAGCAAATCTCAACTTTTAATTATGAAAAGAAATAAAAAGAAGACTTCAAGGGATTTGGATTTGGAGGGGTTTCATTCCCTCTATATATAGCCACAATTTAATTTGTTAATTTGTTAAGGTCATTAATAATTTTTTAATTTTAATTTTAATTTAACTATTAAAATAATTAATAATTAATTAAATAATAAATATTTATTATTTAATAAATTAAAATTAATTTATAAATAAATAATTTTAAATATTGTAACCAATTATTTAAGAAAAAAATTTATAGACTTATAAAATTATAATTAAATTATTAGTCTTAATAAATTGGATAGTCACGATGACATCATCCGCTCCATATACCGA